TCCATGTTCCAGGCAGTTTAAAAACACATTTAAATGGAAACAAATGTGGATCTCAAGCAGTCACGTATAGTGGTTTTTTGCACATCCATTTTAGAAAGTTCTAAAATTGGAGCTGATTTTCACAGTGAGACAGCAATGACTGGTTGTAGTTTGAATACCACTGCAGGTGTTTTTACTTTCGGTTCACATTTAATTGCGCTATTGCAGCGTTGGCTCATATTTTCAGCTGTGTAGCCACAGTAGTGTATTTTATTTAAATCCAGAAAATAATGTGATAAGCACATTTGCATAATTTATTATATTTGACAATCCTCAGCAGGCCCAAGTTCTGACTTGCACCATGAAAATGCATTCAGACCTCATCATTTTACCTTGTGATTAAGTACCGCGACTTAGAGCTACTTATTACGTTGTCACAATAGCTCTATTCCTGTCTTGTAATTTTGGATACTGCCTCCTCCTTGGTTCCTGCAGATTTTCTGAACCTTATTCCCCAGGCTTCCTCTTTATTCTACATGCAATCTTCACAATATAAATTCATGTTTTGCTTGTTTTATCCATCATTGTTTCTATTGTTTGCAAACAAAAATCCCAATTAACACCTAATTTTACTTTTAAGTGCTATGTAAAATTACTCACAGTAATTTGGAAATTTTTACATTTCCACATAGCAAGGGTATAGAAATATTCTAGGTTTGTTTCTCTTTCTGTTTTGTAGCCCAGAATGTATTTTTTGGGGGGTTTGACACCATGTAAAATATACTGAAAATACAATGTTTTAAGTTCTCAGACAAAAAACAAAACTAGATTAAGCAGATGTATTATTTATTTAAGAATGATTTTCTGTTTTGCCAGTTTGAGTTTGAGTTTTATCATTTGGACATTGAGAAATAATAAATTACATTTTTAGGTAGGGCTGAGACATTACAAACTGGGTTCCCAAGAAGGTTGTAGGACCATTTATTTTTAACCCACCTCAAGTGTGAACAGCACCCACTTGGGAAGAATCACTTAAGTAGGTGGTAAGTGAGATCTGCATTATGTTTGGAAGAGGCAAATTATATAGATATGTTCTCTGCCCACATCCTGTTAAGCTACGTCATGAGTACTAGACAAAATCGTAGTTCCTTGGATGAACTTTGCTTCTCTGAATATTAAGAGTGAAGAAATTATGTGATTGTAGGGTGGGCAAAAAAGACAAGTATGGACTCAAGAGAATAGAAGTTCTGGTGCTAGAAAAATGTAATGGAAAAGCCCGGTACACATCCTTCAGACAAGGTTGTATAAAAGAGAGAAGAGAGGGCTCCAACACCACCAGAATTTAGTATTTTTCTGTATAAAAGCCTCTTCAGAAAAAGGCCAACCATGGTTAATATAATGAGAAAGGTTTGCCTGAAGTTGATATAACCTGGCAGCCAAGGAGAGTGGACTGGAATGCACATGCATGAACGAGGATGACTTCGCCATACTAGTCAGTGGGGGCAGTAGGCACTGTTGAGTGAGCGTGTGTACTGTGTGGCCATCACATTAAAAATGACTGAGCAAATAGAGCAACAAATCTGCATCAGATTTTGTATTAAGGTTGAACATTGATCCATGGAAACAATTGGAATGATTCAGAATGCCACAGCTGTGGGCCACTGGTGTTTGGCAGCTTCATCAAAGCAACTTGCCTACTCATGCTTCGTCTCATGCAGAGATTTTTGGTGAAACATCTAATCACCCAGGTGAGTCAGGCCCACTAAGTCCAGATTTGGTGCCTTGCAACTTTTGGCTTTTCCCACAAACTAAAATACCTTTGAAAGGGAAGGAATTTCAGACCCTTGATAAGATTTAGGAAAATACAATGAGGCAACTGACCATGACCTGGAGAACTGTGTGAGGTCCCAAGATGCCTACTTTGAAGGCAACTGAGGAATCATTATCCTATTTACAATGTTTCTTGTATCTTGTATGTTCTTCAGTAAATGTCTCTATTTTTCATACTGCATGGTTGGATACTTGCTGGACAGACCTCACAGACTCAAGTGTGTTTTTTGTTCCACAATGTTAGATCTAGTCGCAGGTAACTTCTGATTTAACAATGAACCTTGAAGTCTTTTTCTCACTAATTCTCAAAAATAAAATATTTGTTTGAGCCTCGTCAGTAATGTTCTTGTTGCTTTACCAAATCTGGACAAAGGTTCCGACAGGCTGGGCTTGAGTCTCATTTTTCTCTCTTGATATAGTGGGTAGAGTAAGTATCACACAAGCCACTTGAAATTAGCATGGAAAATGTTTCTCATTACAAAAGTCAAAATTATGGTCATTAGAAGAAGGGATGGTAGAAGAGTGACAGACAGAAAAAACAGACATTCAAACATTTGATGACTTTAAATATACTTTTATTTACACCCCCTCAAGTGAGGCATAGTCATAATTGGATCCTGGCATTTCGGGCATAATTACATTTTAGATCTTATAAAAATACTGTTAAATTTGATATAGATGAGACTCCTTACATAGAAGGTAGATGAAATGACACAAAGTGTAATGACACTGATTACAAAACAGTAAAAACTATATCTTCAGGCCTACATGTTATCAAGCCATACTTTCTCTGTAACTAAAAAGTACAGTCACTAACCACGAGTGGAGAGGTTATGTCAGTGCGTGGTCTGGGAATCTGTGCCATCCATATTCTGAAGAACATGCCTTCTAAGAATAATCTCAGTATAGGCCTCGACAAGTCTCCCTTGTGTGCCATAATTAGCCCCATTGTGGGTGATTATAATTAATTATCCCCAGTCCTGGATATGTTTCAAAATAGTGAAATGCTGTAACTCTCAAGCTCTAGAAATGACATTTAGCTTAATGGAAACATATTGCTTTACACAGTTGCCCAGGAGTACCTGCTGCCAGAGCTGACTCTGGACACACAGTACAATCACTGCCTGACTTTGGACGGTGTCCCCTTTGAGGAGCAGCAGTGAAATACATTATCCAAGTCTCCTGCAAACATTCCCAACGATGTGAGGTTTTATTCTCGGCTTTATCTCTCACCTCGGAACTGAATGGAATGAACCAAAGGCAAACAGGAAAGAAAGAAAAGTTTAAGTGAAGATGCAAATTATAAGCAGTATAGACTATATTTACCAATTTTTATATTTACAAATTTTATCATCATTTTTTAAAAAAGTTAATCAGGTGTGGATACTTTTTGTTGGTGTATAAATCTTCATAGCAGATGTGCTTTGTTCAATTTTTACTTAAAATTTATTTTTGGATATTTTAACTTTTTATTTTGCAATATCTTTCTTTTGCATAAAAAAGAGCATGGCAAATTAATATGGAATGTTATTATGTACCTTTATCCAAAACCTCTAATGTAACATCATAGAAAGTGACAATTATTGAATTGATAAATTAACATTAATACAATACTATTAGACAAACTATAGGCCTTATTTGAATTTCAACAGTCTTCCACTAAAACAACATAACCATGAAAAGATGAAAAACATAAAAGCATATCAAATCTCTAGAGACATATCTCTATGTACAAAGCAATAGGAAAAATAAAGAAAGGAAAAAGGGGACCATTTTATTTAAAAATATTTAAGAATGCATATGTCAAAAAATCATAGACAAATACAGAAAGAAAACTAGGGAATATTTTAACCTAAAATCTGAGCAATACCACAGAGTTAAAACATTAGTATGTATGCCATTATTGTAGTTACAAGGTTTTAAATATAGAAATAATGTATATTATTAAAGTCTCTTTAAAAACTCTAATCTTTTGCTTGTATTAGGCATACAAATATTTGCAAAAAGACATTATTGTGTGAATCAAGATAACTCCCCATATGTGTAAAATATATTATGGTATTGAAATTCAAATGAGCATTCTAGAATTCCAACTCATAGCTAATGTGGAAAAATAGACAAAAGATTCTTTTGAACTTAGGCAGCTGTACTTCCTCTTTGCATGATGGAAAAATAAAACAGGAAATGATGTTCAAAATCCTGTGAGAATTGTCAGTGAAGAACTCTTACATTTGATGCCTCCTTTTATTCGGTTATTCATTGACTGCATATATTTTGTTCAATTTGCTCATGGTGCTCATCAAATTGACTCTCTTAGAGGCATTATGCAGACGTACTTTACCATCACTCTGTTTGCTCCTGTAGAGACATTACAAAGTCAAAATCCTGGAGGTTTTACAAAGTTTTCTGCTCTCCTTTAGCCACTGCCTCTCTAAAAGGAGGCTGGGTCCTGAGGTACTGGGGCTGAGACTAAAAGCCTGAGTGTAATGAGACGGGTATAATTAAATAGCTCTCAGGGCTTAGATTCAGATGGCTAAGAGCCTGTGGCTTTTATGTTAGAAGTAACAAACATTTACCTAAGAATCTAGGAAAATTATGAGAATTTTGTTAACCGATCTGTCTGTATTCAGATAAGCAAAAGAGACCATACTTACCAGGCCTGGAAAACAAAATAGCTTCTTAGTATCAAGAAACCTTTCGGAAACGATTAGTTGGTGTCAGGAATATAAGAGGACTGGAAAACTACCTCTTTAAAGAGAAAGCAGACCCTGATGTGCCTGTGGCTGTGTTATAGTAGTGTCCAAGGTGATCTGCATCCAAGTGGTAGTACAAATAAATGCTTGCTGTTTTTAGGAATGCTTTCGGAAACCAGCATTGATTGCAGATTTGAAACTAAAGTTATGAAATGATTTTATAAAATAAGACATAAAAATATAAGGCAGAAGTTAAATATAAAGCCAAAATAAAGTTCAATTTTTTTAAATGAATGGATTAATGCTAATACATCAAAAATTTAGCAGAAGTAAGTCTTACATTACAGATTCTACTCAGTTTATCTATATTCACTGTGTTTCACATCATAAAGACTTGTTCATGAACAAAACATACAGAAAGGCACTGTGACTGACATATTTAAAGGAATTCTTAGCATTTGGTCATTCTTAGTAATTAAACAATGTTTCTTTCCTCAGAATAAAAGCTTGAAAAACAAACTCTTGTCAGGAAACAAGTTGTGTGGCATCCATGCAGAAGAGGTGAGTAAATTTCCTCCTCCAGCCTTAGCTAGATAGAAACAATTTAGTGCCAATTTTTTAAACCTAGATATACAGTGACCTTTTACCCTTGTACCATACACACAAAGATTGGGTTAACTAAAGAAAACTGTTAGATATCTTTGTATGTTTCAACACTGCATATCCCAAAATAATGATTGACACATTTCTTAGAGAAAAATAAGTTATTCTGCTTAATCTAGGTTTAACTAAAATCAATCTCCTGTACTCCTGATTACCCAAATCTACTTTTACTTTATGATTTAATGTTGTAGAAATGTATAGCTCATGGTAAGTAGTTGTTAATGGTGGTAATGAGCTAGTAGTGAGTGTCCATAGTGATTCTTTACACCTCAAGGAGAGGAGGCCTGAGTCACTGGATTAGTTGTTTCCTCTGAGAAGCACAAACAAAGATGGGAATAATAAGGAATAGGCCTAAGAGTCTTCAGACTATGATGCAGATCTGATTCCTGTGAAGGAAGGGGGAAGGAAAAACAGTTTGGGGAACAAGAACAGTGGTTTAAACAGGTTGAAAGTTGACCCCTTTCCCATAACAGTCTAGACATAAGGCACAGAGCTGGTGAAACACCTCAGGGATATCCTAAATATGCAGCCAACTTTTGTTTCTAAAACTGCTTCCTGTTATTATCAACTTCTGGCAGGAGAGACAGGGAATATTCTGGTGATTCACAAGCATTGCTTTTTAGGAGTGCAACTAGGAAGCAGGGCCGTGCCAGAGCCGGGTCACCTGCCCAGCCAAGTTGAAGGGAAATGGAAAGTGTCATTAGTTTGGTAGTCATAGGCCCATTCAGAATTTTGAATTTCTTTCATTAAAGAAGGTGAAAACACTCCTTGATGGACATAGAAAAGTGATTATTATAAACATGAAATTTAATAAGCCATGTTATAACATCCATATAATAATATTGTATATAAAATGAATATACATTTTCAATACCTGGGAATTACAGGTATTGCCTCTGAGAATGCCCCATAAGATAAAAAATGAAACTGAATGGGTTGTAGTTTTTCTGTCATTATACTTTTCAAGTTGGGTAGAGATCACCTCTTACACTGTTTGTATTTTCCAAGTGTCTAGAAATATTACATGTGTAGTACCCAATTTCTTAACATTACTTACTAGATGGTAAACAAGTAGAATGGTTTTGAATAAGAAATATGGGGACTGAAACTATACTGTGAGATGGTTGCCGTGCTCCTGCAGTCCCCACAAGACTCATGGGCAGGGCCCAGCAGAAGGACGGCCTGTGTGTGGTTGGTTGGGTAATAATACGGGTGTCACCATTTGTAGTTTAGTTTGAACATTTCACCTAAAAGGTCCTATAGTGCGATACTGTTATGTTGCAGAATTACATGCTTATGATTGTGCAATCAAAGACACTGTAATACAACAGGGGCGTTATTTGTGCCTGCCCATGAACATGAAACAGAGGACCCCAGGACAAGGTTTCTGTAGTGTTTAGAAACAGTTGCAGCCTGGGTTCACCTTGTATTTTTAAACCCTTGCTTCAGAAGTGACTCATATTTTTTCTTCATCTCCATTCCTTAAAGAATATATTATTTTGCATTCTTGTTTATGATGTACTAGACAGTTTATATATTAATATTGCATAATGTTGAAATGAATTGAATATATTAATTATAATTTGCATATTTACCTTACCCCTTTATTTACAGATCAAACAGAGACTTTAAATTTGGGTTATAAAGAAGGTGTACATTTTTGTCCTGATAATTTATCTTCAATATAAATGGAAAATTTTATTATTTCTTTCACCAACACCACCACCACCACCAAAACAAGACTAATGACTTCTAGTGGTTTAGAAGCTAAAAGAAGCTTGTTTTTTTGGGTCAGTGATCCTAAATGTTCGCTATCTGTAGATGCATAAAATGTCCATGTCCCACTGACAGCTAATGGACTGTCATTATTTTGCTCTGCCAAGGAAAATATTAAAAATGATAGAAGCTACTGCAAATATCATATACCATCATATCATTATCACTATTATTTCATGAAAGAAATGACATTTGAATATGAAGTTGTAGGGAAGAACAATCTCCAATTGAATGATAGTCTCTAAAAGGGAAAATAAGCCTGGCTAAAATGGTCTATCATAGACAGCATCTTCTCTCCTTCTTACCTCCTTTATCGTCTTTTTATTATAATTATAATCATCATCATCATCAGAATCATCATCACAAACTATTTTTGCCATGGACTTGAGAAAACTGATGACTCATAGGGACCAACATTTAGAATTACACTTAAGATCATTAACATATGTAAATGAAAAATACTAAAATCCCCAATATAGTAATATGTCAATTGTTTGAAGAGTACCCCTCTGAAATATTTCATTTCTCAAAATGATGCCAACAAGCTGAAAAGAAAACAGCATCAGCTGGGGTTCAAACCCATGTGCATCACAAAGCAGAGGTGAGCTCCCTCAAAGTGCATTTATTCCCACTGATCATATTCTTATTAAATATTTAGATAGGATTTTGCTTTTTAACTCACTGAATATTAGGAGAGTGGGATACCAGATGTGGAGAAGTGATGAGGGACTGTGATGAAAATTTCTAACAAATTATTTTTAAATAACTATATAACTAAGCTCAGGAAATCTAGCAGTTCATGTTCACTTTGTGCAGGAAACAGACTTGTAGGTTTTTATTATAGTTTCTGAATGAATTAGTGCATGATACAAAATTGGTATTTTCATCATAAGTCCAAGTTATGAAGAAAAGTTTAAATTGTATTCTGTGCATTCAGTATGAGTATGCATTAAAAATGAATACTCAAATGGTTTTAATGAATCCTTTCTAACACTTCAATATAATGCTTCAATTGTGTGAAATAATTCAAGGGAAGTTGGTCACATCACGCACACAGGATGTAGTGGGAATCTCTCACTCCCCTTTGATGCCGGTCAACACTGCTTTGAAGAAAAACTGAAAGTATGTTTTCCTAAGACACCGTTTTGGCTCTACACGGGCCCTAGACAGCAGATTGCAAAAACAGGGAGAGAAAGCTAATCAATGTGCATTTGATATTGAGAAAGATAACAGAAATAGTCCTTTACTGAAATTGGTAGCACAACATTAAAGATAGTCATGAAAACCATGAAATGTTTCAGAAATAAAGTTCATACAACAAGGGAGAGATGCTGCATCTGAAAGGATTACTTTGGGTCACTTGGGAGTTTTTGTGTGAGCAAGAGCAAAGTCGTGGTAAATATAGAGTCCTGAAATACAAGTACAGATTCAAGGTGCTGAGGGCTCAGGTGTTGAGTTTCCTTCTCAAGAGCCAGTAGCAACCATACACACATAATAATGGCTCCTTGTCTTCCTTTGCATTATGTCATGCATTTCACTTTCACTAACCATAGCAAGAAAAAAAAAGGATGCTTTTATATGAAAATGAAATCTTACTAGCTTGTAAGAAACCACAAATCCTTGCTGATTCTGGGGATGGAGTTTAATTGCATAATTCTGAATCGTTAACATGTCAGACACCTCCTCCCTGCCTTCTTTGTTTCCTATCTCACTCTCTTTCCCCCTCCTCCTCCCTTCTTTTCCCTTCTCTCTTTCTCTCCATCCATCTGTCTTATCATCCTTTCTCCTTCTTTCTTTTCTCATTTATTTTTTTTTATTTAGTTACTTTTCAAGTACATTTTTTTATCTATTTCTCCCATCCTACCCCCCCACCCTGTCTCCCCCCTCCCTCCTATTTCCCCTCCCCCCAGTCCTCATCCCTGTGTCTTTCATACTTGTTCCTCAAAATCACTCCCCCTTTTTCCCCTTAAATTCCCTTCCCTCTCCCCTCTGGTCGCTGCCCACCTGTTCTCTATTTCAGTGTCTTTGTTTTTATTCTATTTGCTTGTTTGTTTTATTCTTTAGCTTCCTGTCAAAGGTGAGATTATATGGTATTTGTCTTTTAATGCCTGACCTATTTCACTCAGCATAATGCTTTCCAGTTCCATCCATGTTGTTGCAAAGGGTAGGAGCTCCTTCTTTCTCTCTGCTGCATAGAATTCCATTGTGTATATGTACCACAATTTTTTGATCCATTCGTTTACTGATGGGCACCTAGGTTGCTTCCAGCTCTTGGCTATTGTACATTGTGCTGCTATGAACATTGTGGTGCATAGGTTCTTTGAAATTGATGTTTTAGGATTCTTGGGGTATAATCCTAGCAGTGGAATTGCTGGGTCAAAAAGCAGGTCGATTTTTATTTTTCTGAGAAAATTCCATACTGTTTTCCATAATGGTTGTACCAGTCTGCAATCCCACCAACAGTGAACTAAGGTCCCCTTTTCCCCACAACCTCTCCAGCATTTGTTGTTTGTTGCTTTATTTCATTTGTTTTCTGTTTGTTCTCTCTTATCAGCTTCCCAATTCAAAGAATCAGAAAGTGCAGATGGCTCAGGATAAGGACGTCTGTGAAAAACTATGTTTCTAATATTAGAACCTTGCAGTGGTGTATCATTTATAGCCCTTTCCATTTATACTCTAATTGGTGGTACTTCCAACATTGTATAATGAGTTGGAAATTAGCACTCTAATCTCCTATTTTGCAAACTCGACTAACTACCTTGCATGGTTAGAAATGTTCTGAATATACTGGGAAACAATCACAGTATATTTGATGTTGGTTTAGTGGAAGATTCATATACATTGAGTGTATGCTGGAAAAATTATAACATTTCAAACATAACAGTGGACTTTATTTATTCAAGAGGACTTTTATCTCAACAGAGTTTACTTGATATAATGATACCAGGATGATATTGTGTTTATTATGCACTATGGCCAGCTACTCTTAAGATTGAATTTGATTAAAATACCATTTACATACAGTATATTCCATTTAAATATACATTTTTAATGGGTTGGATCAGTGTGAGGAGGTGTGGAGGGGGGAAATGAAGACAGTGTACTAGAAAAATAATACAAAAATATAACATTACCCTTACCCCAAAATTTCCTTTTGCTGTTTTATAGTCTCTACGATCAATCCCCATCCCATGTAAACTACTAACCTGATTGTTCTTCCTATTCTTTTGTTTATATTTTTGTAGAATATTATATGAATGATATTATATAAAATATAGTTTCTAGTGACTAGATTCTTTCACATGGCTTAATGCATTTGACATTCATCTACATCGTTAATATGTTTCAGTACTTAATTCTTTTTTTTTAAAGATTTTATTTATTTATCTTTAGAAGGGAAGGAGAAAGGGAGAGAAATATTAACCCATGGTTGCCTCTCATGCATCCCCTGCTGGGAACTGGCCTGCAACCTAGGCATGTGCCCTGACTGGGAATCGAAAGGTGATCCTTTGGTTCGCAGGCTCGTGCTCAATCCACTGAGCTACATCAGCCAGGACATAATTCTTTCTTAAAAATTACTCAACAGTGTTCTAGTGTTTCATTTCATGGATATACCATGATTTGCTTATTATTCACCAGTTAATGGACATGTAGTTTTTTTCTAGCACTTGACTATTGTGAAAAAAGATGCTCTAAACAATCATCTACACATTATATTTTCTTTTGGGTAGATACTTACAAAGGATTGCCCTATAAGGCAGTATGTATATGCTTATAACATGTTGCCAAGTTGTTTCTCAAGGTGACTTCACTATTTTATATTCTCACTCAACTCTTTTTTAATAATCATTTTTCATGGGACTATGGTAATCTGTTCGTGTTCTATTTCTTCTACTAAAGAATTAGAACCAAGGATCTTGATGTGTAGAGACAAATGACTGAGGTTTTTAAGTTAGCATGTTTGAATTTGGGTTCATTCTGGGAAAATGGAGTCATGCTCATCCGCTGTGGTTTACCAGAATGTATCTCAGTGCGGTAGCCAAACGTGTCTGCTGAAAGAGATTCCTGTTACAAGCGCTATTACACCAGCAATGGCTCTCTGTAAAAGCTCATCCTTCTAAAGGGCAGGCACCCTTAACCTCAGCATCTGGCACTCTAAGCGTTTCCTCACCTCCTGTCACTTCTGCTTGCTGCCTTCTCCTTGAACACACGTCAAGTACAAAATTGGTGGTCAATTTAAATTCATTCATATTTAATCTTCCTTTAATAAATAATACAAATAAGCAGTGAAAACTGAGGCATACAATTGCAGAGATGCATTTAGCATTTAAAATTGGGGTTGGCCAGCCCAGTTGGTGTCTCACTTGGTTGGGTGTTGTCCCAGGAACCAAATGAAAGGTCACCAGTACTGGTCAGTGCACATGGCTGTGTTGCCGGCCTTCCCCGGGCTGCACAGAAGGTAACCAACCCATGTTTCTCTCTCCCATCTATGCTTCTCACCCTTGCTTTCTCCCTTCCTCCTCCTCTCTCTAAAACTCAAAAATAACATATTAAAATTAGTATTGGTCATGCCTGAGTGACTCTAATTCTTTAGATGAGAGGAGAAAGAGTAAGCCACTTTCTTTTCATATTACCTTTTAAAAATAGCTTTTTGTTTTGTTTGTTTGTTTTTTAGCAGGCTTTGGTTTTCTCTCTTTGCCTAGAATAACTGGATATCCTACTCCCAAAGCGGAGATTAAGCTTTTGTGTTTCATTTCCAAAATCATTGGACTCTTTTCCTTAGCAGCAAAGTTCATTTTTGTGAAGTTTGAAAGAATGTTAATCATCAAGTTTGAAAATGTAAATGAAATTAAAGCACTAATCCATGTTTCTGCTCTTGCAGTCCAAAAAAATCCAAGCCCAGCTGAAGGAGCTCCGTTATGGGAAGAAGGATTTATTGTTTAAGGTGAGCATCTTTCTCCCTCCCCCTCCAACTTGTTAGACCAGTCTGTGAATTATCGAAAATATGATTTAGCTGAAATTTCCAGATGTTCACACAAATTAGAGTTTTATTCAACTGTATTTAAGATGTTCTCATTTTATTACCTGCTTAATTAATGGAGATAAATGCAGATATGGTTTCCTGGGTACGATCTTAATCAAAGGCCAGCATCATTACAAAGTATTTAGAGTCCCTTTGTAACTTCCAATTACCGTAATTCAGCATTGAGGAGTGTTATCTTTTGGAGTATTTACATGAAGGAAAGTGTATATCCAGTCAGTGTGCAGAGATGAGGCTCACTGGTAACCTACACTCTTAATGTCCAGAGATCTTTCATAAATCTTATTACTATGAAGGGTTTTCATATTTAATTATTGTTGATTGATTTTGATTATTGATCCTTTTCTTTCTTTATAAAACATTAAGTCAAGACCTCTGCATAGTTAGACATCCATCCCCAACTGTGGATGTGATAGTAAATAATACCCACACAACAAAGAGATTTGTTTGGTAATCTCTGATACCTGGTAATGTCATCTTTTATGGTGAAGGGGGCTTTGCAAATGTGACTTAGTTAAAAACTTTGAAATGGGAAGATGATCCCAAATTATCCAGGTGGTTCCTAAACATAGTCACATGAGTCCTGCTAACAGTGAAACAAAAAGGCCTAAGTACGAAAAAAAAGTTATGTGAGCACAGAAGCTGGGATAGGAAAGACAGATGAAGGATTTCTTCCCTATACCCTCCAGAGAGAATCAGCCCTGCTGACACATTAGTTTCAATCCCATAAAATCCATTTGACTTCCGACTTCCATAACTATAATAGAACAAATTTGTGTTGTTTTAAACCATGTCATTTATAATATTTTGTTATGGCAGCAAAGAATAACTAAAGATAATTTATTTTTATCTCCTTTGAGCACGGGAAATAAGAGCCAGGTGCCCTTAATTGTTGTGGTTATGATACATTTGCATAGTCAAATGCAGTAGAATAATAGGATAATAGGCTCTTAGTTGTAGGAACAATCATTTGTCTAAATAAATAATAAGTACAAATTATTTTGTGTGCAATAATTGCTTTGAAAAGCGTTTTCACAATGGTGATCAGCTCAATCTACATGTGTCAGGTTTAAAGAGGTATGATTCTTTATTTTATAGAAGAGTTGAAAAATCCTGTAATTTTTTTTAGATGGAAACTATAGGAAATGACCTATCTCTTCTTTGGCACCTTCACTTTTGGTGTGGAGTCATGAGAAATCATTCCTTTTATGTCAACCAATACTTATGAAATACTCGTTCTGTGCAAGGCACATTATACTGTGTGCTCTCCCATAAATACACCCCCTGCCATTCCATTCCTTTGACCTCAGTTGTAACAGGACATTCCCCAGAACACCAAAGACACAGCTCATTAATTATCCTTAGAGCTGACCGATCCGCACTTCTCAGCACTCTGCACATTGTATGAAATAAATAGATAAGACAAAGGTCTGAAACACAGGACATTTGCTGGTATCACTTGAAGCTTTCATTCTGAGATCCTCCAGATCTGGCTATCTTAACCCATACATCCAGCTTTTCTTTAGCTTTTTGCAGTCATCAATAATAAATAATCACAATAGAAAATGTGTGTGTGCTTTTGTTTGCAAGGAACTTTCTGGTTCTCTGTGGATTAGTTTAACTTAATATCGGGAATGTGATAGCACAAATTCAAGTTCAATAGAGCTGGTAAATTTTAATTATTAGACGATCAGATTTATGTAAAGATAGAAATTCATTTGAGATTTTAAGAATCTTTTGAATTTAATTTCTTGAATTGAAGAATTATAGAAAGGAAAGTTAGGAGAAGAAAATGAGAATACATACTCATGTTCAGTGACTTATTTCTTTGTAATATGACAATTACAAAAATTATAATTGTTGAATATAGATTAGTAATTTACCAACTTTCAGAAGTTACTAAAATGTTGGTTTGTTGAAAATCTTTTTGACTTGGAAATGAGCCATTTTATATAAGCCTTTTTATTTCATGTAATTTTAGGAGGAACACGTGTATGAAATCAGGTGAATTGGGTACGACTAGACAATGAAGTTGTGTAAATTAGAATATCCTCAGATTATACCCTCCCCCAAAAGTTGTTTAAAAGAAAGTTTTTTAATAAGTAAATAACAAGAGGTCTAGAAGCATGAACATTTTATAGCTTGTTCAGGAGCTAAGCAATGTCAACAAGAATCCGCATTCTCTCTCTCTCTGTCTTTCTTTTTTTCTTTTTGTTTTCCTTCTTTTCATGACATGATCCTCAATTTACTAACTTGTTCTAAGATTTCACTCCTCCTCGTGTTATGATAGTGGCTAAAGATCTAGGGGCTGTCCACCTCCAGCTGTGTACAAAGTCAGAGTTTAGTGTTACAATTTTTAAGAAGGAGAGGAAAAAAAAAAGAAAAAAAAAGGAAAAAAATAAAATAAAATAAAAAGGAGAGGAAAATTTTAAGAAGTCTTTCCAAACTTTGTGATGTATCCATGCAGAAGTGAACCCTTAGTGTTTTCAGCTCTGTTGGGAAAGACTGTTCCTTTTTTATATAGGGTAAAATAAGGGGGTTACTGACACCAAGCAATAGACAGTTTCTGCTACAATGTAATTATCAACTCATCTTGATAGCAGTAATGGTAAACTCATCTGATTTGCTTGCTACTCTAGCCACCATATACCTTTGGGTCTTGCATAAATGTATTTTAAGTGAATGAATATATGCATACATATGTATGCACATATACACATACATATGTTGATGTATCAGGGCATTAGATAGCAGAAGCTGATATATTTAACCCTAACAATTTTGTGACCACAGAAATTCACCTATGAGCCTTTAAAAATGAGCCCACAAAAGATTTTATGTCCAATAGTTTCCTTGAGAATCTGTCAAGTTTTAAATGGAATTGATGGGTTTAGTAAAGACAGACTTTAAAAGAGCAATGCCTGTTGGCTGAAGCGCTTAAATTTTATTTTAAAATAATGTCATGTGCTGACAACAGCAAGGCATGTTGATAAATTGTATCCTTATTAATGCTGGAGAGCTGGTTTTGGATTGGGGAAAGCTGCCAACAGTAGTGAATGTTCTCTGCTAAAGAAAGCAGGGAGGCCCTGCTTACTGTAAACTGCCCGGAACTGGGGCTACTTTCTTATCCTTCTCGTTTGCACTTGGGGCTGGTAGTCTCTGGAATACATGCTCTTCATTTTGCTGTTCTATTTACTTTTGCATACACACTCCTTTTCTATTCCAGAAATATTCTTTTTTTCATTGTAGGCAGGTTTCAAAAGTGTCAAAAAGTATAAAGTGAAGAGATAACATTTAAAATACCATCACTAAGAAGGAACACAGTATTTAAAGATATTTCAGTCTAGTTGCTTTAGGTATAATAGGCTTTGTGATTAATATATATACATACACATATATGTACATATTACTATATATTATAGATTCCACTTTTTCACATAGTTTTAAAACACAGAAAATCCTTTCATTATAGTTGTGTTTCATAGAACTTTAAATAAAAATTTTCCATGATATCTACATGCTAAAGTGGCTTAAATATGTGAGGATTCACATGTATGTGGGGGTATTATGATTTCCATTTATACTATGATGAAAAGGAGGTGGGAAGGGCTTAACCACAGAATGTCTGTGCACAACCCAGGGACACAGACAACAATATGGGGATCGGCTTGGGAAGGGGAGTGGGTGGGAGAGGCTGGGAGCGGGGAAAGGGTGAAAAGTGGGGACAACTCTGATAGCATCAACAACACAAATAAAATTCAAAAAATGAACAGAAAAGAGACAGGAAAATTATTTATTATTTTTAACTTGAAGTATACTTTTTTTTAATGTGTATTCTGGTGGTTTTTTAGACATTTCTTTCTTTTTTTTTAATTGTTGTTCATGTACACTTGTCTCCATTCTCTTCCACCCTGCCCCCAACCCCAGCCACCCCCCCCCCTTTGGCTTTGTCCCTGTGTCCTTTATTCGTGTTCCTGGCAACCCTTCCCCCTTCTCCTTCCATTGTCCCTTCCCACCTCCCCTCTGGTTACTGTCAGTTTGTTCCTAATTTCAGTGTTTGTTCTCACCCATAAGTGGAACCTAACCAACAAAATGAGCAAACAAAATATAACCAGAGATATTGACATGAAGTATAGTTTTATATCAAACATGTATCTAACTAAAATAATTTAATACAATTATTGAAAACTGTAAAATGCTAAGTAAGGGTACCTAGTACACATTACCTTTTTATAACTTTATTGAGGAATAATTGACAAACATTACTGTACGTATTTAAAGGGTACAACAGGGTGATTTTCTGTACACATACATGGTGGGATGATTACCAAGATCGACATAATTAACATATCCATCACCTCACATAGTTAACTCTTATTTTTTGTGTCTGAGTTGAGAGTGATTTAGTTCTGCTCTGTATTAAAAGCTGTACCAATTTACATTCCTACCAACAGAGTGTAAGTGTTCCCTTTTCTTTATACCCTTGCCAAAATTTGTTATCTCAGTCTTTTTGATAATAGCCAACTTTGAATTGTATACTATCCTGCTATTAGTTCTAGCCATTATGCTATGCACTCCATCCTCAGAACTTGTTCTTTTACACACAAATTTGTATGCTTTGATGCCTATCGACCCTTTCCCATTCCTTCCTGATCCTGCCAGCCACTATTTTCTTCTCTGTTTCTATGAAATCTCCTTTATGTTTGTTTTTTCAGGGGAGGAGTATTTGTGTGTGCATGTGTGTGTGTGTGTTTTAAAGTTCCACACATTCCACATATAAGCCATACCCTACAGTATTTGTCTTTGGCTTATTTCATTTATTCTAATGACCTCCAGATCCAATCATGTCATTATAGACAGCAGGATTTCTTTATTTTTAATGGTCAAATAATATTCCAGTGAGT